ATCTAATAAAATCGACGCGTAAATAGAGTTTTTTTTCTTATATACTTCCTCATTTGGGGTCTATTTTTTCCAAAATGTATTGTTTCAAAACTTAATTTTAATCACGCATTCTCTCATAAAATAATGTTATACATAAAACAATTTTTGTTTTTTAAATTTTTTAATCAGACGTTCTCCAAAATAATTAGTATTTCAAAACACATTTTGCAAAATTAGTTTCAAAATGTTCATGACTTAAACGGAGTTGAATGCTTGGATTCTACTCGTAAGAGTATCATCAAAGTACTCTTTAAAAGTGGGTACTCTATGAAAATTTGTGATAGATGTTTCAAACCTTTTAAGGCAATGTAGATTACAAATGAACCTTTAAATCGCAACAATTAGTCCCAAATCTTTCAAAATTGTGCAACCGAAAAGATCTCAGATGATTGCCATTCAAAAATTTAGAAATTAAGCATATAACCTCAATTCAACCAATTTTAAAAATGTCAAAATGATAACTCTACATTTTCTCACTTAAAGAATAAATAATTAAATAAAAGAAACCAAAGAAATAGAAAAATATTACTCGTCCCCATACCACCACACAACCAAACCAAAATCATATACCAATCTCTACCTCCTACCAGGCTACCACATCCGTCCCCACCCGGGCACTCTCACCCCCACCAATGACACATATCTAACCCCTGTTGAATTTAATGAAACGTATGATTGAAAAGTTGTGGAACCCATGAAATATGTGGTTAGAATTAATCATTGACTTTAACTTATGGTACTTTTGATTGCGAGTATAGAATTTGTATGGAAATAAAATACATTTTAAGGAATTCAACTGCCCAAAATGTATTTGTATGAAAAATATTAATTAAATGTGTTTGACTAATTTAGTTTTCAACCTTAAAAATATTATACGTGTCCTTTTTTTATGGGTAGATAGATGAGAGGGAGGGAATAGATGAGAGAGAGAAAGTGGGAGTGAATTACCTAAAAATAAAAATCACATCTCCCTTAAAGAAAATATTTTCCTTATTCTTTTAGGAAAATATGATTACGTGACTAAAAATTAAAAAATATTTTTCATTAAAAAAATTGTCAATCAAACATCTCAAAAGTAGAAATTTAAGTGAAAAAAATGTTATTTTTATGAAAAATAAAGCCAATCAAAACGCTCTTAAATTAAAATCTAGATTTTAATTGGTACCAAATGGAGACCTATTATTCTCTACTTCTCCAATCAAATAGATAAATAAAAAGGAGGTTTTCTCAAAATAAAAGGCAAAATGAAAACAAAAAAGTAAGAAATAAATAAAAGGGGTAACAAAAAAATTTAGGAAAAAATAAATAAATCATCTTCTTCGCCTACCTTACCCCAACCCTTAACCCGAATACCACCTAAGACGCAACCATTGCCACCATCGCTTACTATACACATCCCTATCCTCCCAGTTGCTATCATCAGGAGGGAGAATCCCTTCAGTGTAGTGCAAGATCATGGTGGAGGTTTCGAGAAAATTATTTCGTGCACTAATTGCAAAAACTATTTTGTACAATGATCTCGTTGCACCAAGGAAAGAAACCCCCCTTGTGGTGGGGGTTGAAGGGACTTCCCCAATTAACATCAGGATTCAACTTAAATCTCTCATTGGTAGAAAAGTCTTGGGTTCGAATTTTAGAGGACGCGATAGAAACTCGGGAGAGGGTACTCAAAGCGGACAATACGTAAGTTAACGACTTGGGTATATAGATTCGGGTTGTTACAAAAAACGCGCGGCTTTCTATCGCGAAACCATGGTGGAGGTTTCGAGAAAATTATTTCGTGCACTAATTGCAAAAACTATTTTGTACAATGATCTCGGTGCACCAAGGAAAGAAACCCCCCTTGTGGTGGGGGTTGAAGGGACTTCCCCAATTAACATCGGGATTCAACTTAAATCTCTCATTGTCAGAAAAGTCTTGGGTTCGAATTTTAGAGGACGCGATAGAAAGTCGGGAGAGGGTACCCAAAGCGGACAATACGTAAGCTAACGACTTGGATATAGAGATTCAGGTTGTTACAAAAAACACGCGGCTTTCTATTGCGAAACCATGGTGGAGGTTTCGAAAAAATTATTTCGTCCACTAATTGCAAAAACTATTTTGTACAATGATCTCGTTGCACCAAGGAAAGAAACCCCCCTTGTGGTGGGGATTGAATGGACTTGCTCAATTGGTATTAGGATTTAACTTAAATCTCTCATTGGCAAGAAAAGTTTTGGATTCGAATTTTAGAAGACGCGATATAAAGTGGGGAGAGGGTAAGTGAGTATAGTCTCACCCAAAGCGGACAATACGTAAGCTAACGACTTGGGTATAGAGATTCGGGTCGTTACAAAAAAAACACGAGGCTTTCTATCATGTTCCCCATGATTTGAAGTTTTGAACCCAAGACCCTACTGTCTAATGAGAGATTTAAGTTAAATCTTGGTGTCAGTTGAATTTACCTAAAGCGAACAGTACGTAAACTAACTATTTGAGTGCAGAGTTGATGCCATGATTCAACTTAATTTTTCTTTTTAAGAGACGAAGTATTTTCTTTTTATTTTTTATTTTTATCATTCTTTTATTCATTTCTACATTTCTCCTTTTTAATCATTTTAAATTAGATAGTATAGAAAGACTTTTTTGCCTTTCTTTATATCGGTCAAAGGGTTTTGTCAACTAATGAATTTTTGGCTAGAACCTTTTAAGGGACCTTGCGTTGTATGTTACTTTAAATATATGGGATTGCAACGCCAATGATGAAAGGTTTTGGTACTCGCAGCACTATTTTGAAAATTTTATAACTCCTAATGCAATTTACCTTAATAATTATATACCTAACTCAAATTTCTAAACATATCCCAAAAATAAGAAGTAAAGGTTAACTTTGTAAAGTCGAACATTCGAACTAATCGACAAATTATTAAAATCTTATTATGTGCTATAATAAAAGATTGAGAGGGTGTTTGGTAAAAATTAAAATCGGATTAAAATTGAAAAATTAGTCGTTATTGTTGACTTTTATTAGATAAGTGAGACCTAATAACGACTATATTTTCAATTTTAATTGGATTTTGAACCGTATCAAACAGGCCCT